AGGAGTAAGGTTGTATACTGTTTTAAACATGATTCGACTAGAGGATGCCGTCTTTTCCAATTCTGGTTTCAATCGTACGGAACGAAACCAGATATATCACATTCGCCACCTACCACTCTATTCCTTTATCCGCCACTCTACACGGCACACGTGGAAAACATTCTACACTTCCGGCTGATTCTATGAACGAACGTGAAGCACTTCACCAATGCAACTGACACTAAAGTGCAAAATATATCACATCTTACCCGACGGTATGACGGTTGTGGTACCAGGCAGGGTATGCCTACTCTTCTAAACATCTGATACCACTTTTCATCATACTTACTCACTTATATGATATACTACCTCATGTGAAAAGTCCATTAGCTGCTACCAATGGTTTGCCAGTAAGTTATTTGGATTTTGGGATTCGTTTTGCGGTTCGGATCGATATTTTTGGTTTATTTATGTCATATATATCTACTCGTATCAGAGGCCGATAAGATAGTGATAGTGAACACTTTATAAACCGTTGTATTATTTGACACATCATCAATAGAAACAGTTATTTTGTTATGTGATAATTTTATTGTTACTTTAATAAAGATTCAACAAATGTATGATTTCCTTCCACTGTTTTCATGTAATTTGTTCGACTACCATTAGTTTTATATGAGTTTTCCACCTAGACAGCTAGGGACGAAGGGCGGCTAAGTGTAGAAAAGTGGAACTAAGATTCCAAAATAAGAGCTTTAATGGTATAAGGCGACCAGTCTTTGCCAATTGGTCTCGACCTTCCACAGAACATCTGATATTTTCAGGGTATCTTCCCAATGTCAAAGTTATTATGAAGACAAAGTTCACAATAGCTTAACGACCTTTCTTGTGGACAACTGTCAAAGCCAAGTTCAAAATGCGACAGCTCTGACTAGGTTCCATAATCGCAAGCCCCTAAGGGATGCTCAGAGTTCTCTTAAGAAAATTGTCGAAAATTGAATTGATTTGGTGCCATCTGACACATATTTTGCAGTAAAACCGTATGAAAATAATATTTTTCTAGTGGGGCAACCCCCTCCAACCCCCCCGCCTGGAAGGGCGTGAGAGATGATTTAAGGGATGTTTTTGGTCTTTATATCATTGTTCCTGTCTTTATTAGCCCTATCTGTGGCAGATAATAAAACGTAAAACTCCATTCCATTTCTAACGTCTCCGATACGGATGCGTATCCATCCCGCAACTTTTTACAGAAATAAAAAAAACTTTTATGCTGCACTAATCTATTCTAATAATAATTTTCAATGAGTTAATCAGATCAGAATTTTCATCATTCCAGGATTATCTTCTTCTCTTATCCTGTCACTGAAATTCAAAATAGATTCATAAAGTAGCATTAATTTGCAATCCCTTTAAAATGACGGTCGCCATAATAACATTCAAACGCGGATAATTCTGGACACACTTGAATCGAAGGCTCAAATTTCAACGGTGAGCTGTGAACACTATTGCTTGGCTAAAAAGATTCCCGTTTCAGAGGCCAGATTATGCTTGGTCAAAGAGAATGGTCCATCAGTCCCTTTAAAGTGATACTACGTCTTAGAATTAACATATAATTTACGAATTTTAAACTTGGCCAATAAGAGCCAGTAGATATACCTGGTGTCATAAATAACATAACAGGGTCCTTATAAAACCAATAAATCCAAAAAACTTCATAAAAATGCAATTATCTATTGAAAATGCTTAATATCAAGATTAAGCGTTTTTCAATAATTACTTAGTTTTATGAATTTTCCCATTTTCCAGATTTTACATGGATTCTGTTGTAACTTTATGACACCAAGTAAGCTAACTGGTGAATATAGACTAATATTGACTATTTCGAGAACTTAAATTTTATGTTCATTCTAAGACGTAGTATCACTTTAAGTTGGTTGCGACCCCTTACCCGGAATTTTTTTTAACATAATATGCTCTCCTGCATTCTGAGATCTCTCCGTAAGTCAATTTAAAGCCTGTTCGTGGAAGATTCAAAGATTCTCAGTCTGTAGTTATATTTTCCTAATTTTATATTTTTTTCTGGTGATGGGGGCCCCTCGCGGATCGGGGTCCGTAGACTTGGTTCATCCAGCCCCTTTCCCAAATGGCGCACATGTCCCCTTAAGACAAATATGACTTACTACTTTCGGCGAGTGCGACAACTGTTTCATACTCCTTGACTTGTATAGTTCCATCTCCTGTAATAAAAAAAGAGAAAAGCTAATGATATAAAAAGTATAAAATACCAAGTTCTTGTATCAAGTAGTGTACCCAATCAACTATTGCATCAGCTTCTCCCATTACGTTGTTCGAAAGCCAAAACTTAATATGAAAAATACAGAACCTTTTTGATACCTACCATCCATGTCATAAGCTTCTATGAATTCAGCCACCCCATTGTCAGCAACACCAAATACAGATTTGATTTCTTCAGCAGTGAAAACACCATCTTCAACAGCAGCTTTGTATTTAGCTTGGAAATCGGCACCTTCTATGTCTCTCTTACCGAATACAAGTGCGCCGATAGCAACTGCTCCAGCTGTTCTCCAAAATCTCCACGCATGAGTCTGACCCATCATCACTACCATAGCCACGAGTAAAACAGCGGCAATTTTCATTCTACAATTTATATATAATAATATGATATAATATATGTTTTTGAATTGGTTATTGTAATAACCACC